TGGTGTGCTTCTTCCATGTGGGCTTTGTTGCTTCTGAGCTTGATGGCCGCTTGATTACCTTCAAGCCTTTAAGACCTAGGAGGCTTTCATTGAGAAACCTTACTCCATCCTCCCCACGACCCTGATCCTGCCCAGTCCATCTTCTTTTCCTTCCCTCAACTCAAGGCCATTGAAAAGGAACATGACTTGAGTCCCTCTGGGATGTCAGCCTGCTGTATGGACATAGTATAAATAGAAGAGCAATGAATTCTTTGGGCAAGAGAGAGACAGACACAGATAGACACAGAGGCACGATATGTAGAGAAACAAAATAGCCTCACAGTTTGAAGTTTCTATGACTTTGTAGCAATTCAGTCTAACTTACCCTCCTATTTGTGGAGAAATGGCCAATTGGTCATGCATGTATACTGGAGTAGGTACACTTTTTAAGATACAGATATGTTTACAGATAAATTTGATTTCTATTGAATTATTTATTTAAAGAATGCTATGCTCTACATTATTAAAAATAAACTTTTCATTTGATCTTTTAAAAAGACTGATTCATGAAGTACCCTAAAAACAATTGTCTTTGCCCACCAGTTGCAAGAAGGCAAAATACAATAAGACACCTCATGTTGGTGGGAAGAGTTATCAGAAGTTCAAAAACAAGCAATCAAATCTATGTTAAGGGGCGTGGATATAGTGGAGACCCAAAACCCACCTGTGAGATCATTGAACAGTCCCTCTCAGCAGGGTCACAGAGAAGGGATGAAAAATTCAGGGAACAGTAAAGCACTGAAGAACTACATAATTATCCTCTAGTTCTTTAATATTTCCTCCCCTTAGTATCATGGTTTTAATTTGTTTTACCTCATTAATCATGTTAGATTTGTGTATACAGTGAACCCTTGTTTATCGCGGTTAATCGGTTCTAGACCCTACCATGATAAATGAAATTCCGCGAAGTAGGATTCCTTATTTGTAAATCAAATATTTTCGTAGTTAGAGCATAGAGGGCATGAAAAAACACCTTTTAGTCACCATTACACTCATATTACCCAATTTATTAAACGAAAAAGGGAAAATACAGTAAAACATTTTGGACGTTACAATTATCATTTATTATTTATTATATTATTTATGGCATCAAGCATGTACAGTATGAGCCAATCAGTGGCAGTAATGACAGAGCATGCGCTGTTACACAAAAACCGCGATAGAGTGAAGCCACGGAAGTCGAAGCGCGAAGTGGCGAGGGTTCACTGTATTCATTTGTATATTTAAGATTATTCAGTACATGAATAATCTTAAATATACAATCAAGATCACCCTTGAGAAACAGTAACAGGAGTAATGGTTCCCTGGGGGAATGGGAAGGTGGGGGCAGGGGTAGGGAGCTGATAGCATTGAAAACTGTATAATCCCACTCGATGGGATCAGGCAATAGAATTGTATGTAAATGTATGTATTGGATCATGTAAGACATGGCAAAAAAAACTATTAGAGGGAAAAATAATAATAAGGGTTCATGAGGGGTAGTAGGGTGGGGAAGAGAAATGATAAAGGAGAGCTGGTATCAAGGAGTTCAAGAAGAAGGAAAATGTTTAAAACTGATTCTGGTAGCAATTGTACAATATTAGTTGATGTGATTGAACTAAAGATTGTATGACATCTGTAAGAGCACCCAATAAAATGATTGTTTTTTTTTTTAAGTAAGACCCCTCAAAATGTCTTAGACAAGGAGAAAAATGTAATGACAAGAAAATATGGCCAAGAAACACTATAGATACTAGGCTGCTGGGCTCTCCCTGTTGAAAACTCTTAGCCTTGGAAATGGCGTTGATAGGGCTTTCCATTGTCAAAGACAAAGGTGCAGTGGACGTGTTGTGTTGTAAGCCCTACCCTGAAACACAGGCGGCCGACCTTAAAACCCGTTTTGTCAGCACACTGCTTGCTGTCTGCCTGCTTGTCCAGAAGAGCTCCCTTGCTCTCCTTTTTCCCTGGTGTCCTTTCTACTCGCACCTGCCTTAGAATGAAGCTGCCTTTCCTCTCCTTCACACACTGGGCTTTCATGTCTATGCACAAGCACTTCCTTCTCATTCCCAACACTACCGTGCTCTTGTCTTTTCAGTCTCTCTGCGCATGAGATGGCACAGCTGTCTAAATTCTCCCTTGGTTCTTTGGGATTTCATGGAAGAAATCGTCTCTCACCCTGACATCTCTGCAGGAAATGTGACAAGAATTATCTGAACCAATGAGACGTTGATCTTCTCTGCATTGTTCTTGCTGGGCTTATGAATCTTTTCTTTCACAGAGAAGAACTGGCTTTTCTGAGCTTGTCTCTCTAGAAGTCACCCCAAAACACAATATTTTAATGTAGACATATGTGATCGGTGGAATTTTGGCTGCATATCATGGTATGTCTATCCGCAGGTAGAAGCTTTCAAAATGCCAACTAGAAACAAATATGCTGGGTTGGCTAACAATTGAGTTTCTGTCTTTTTTGTAACTAGTTGGGCCCAGAGAAAATCAATATATTCATACGGCACCTCCCCGACATCTGAGCTTTGTGAATGTGTAACTTCCTCTGAATAAGAACAACAGTAGCCAAAAGGACTTCCATACCAGAACTCTCCTTAAATAAATATCTAGTCTTTACAAGATGTTACCTGTGAGGGTTGAGGTCCTGTTGCTTGTGACAGGTGTTGTTTCCTTGAGGCCTGAGTAGGACCACACCTTCTCTTTAGCCTATGGGCATACAATGAGCAACAGGTTACACAGTACAGCAGGGTTTATCCATCTCACATCTATTGGGAACAGAGGGGTCCGGCACTTCGGTACTTGTAGGATCCTAGCATCCCTGCTCTTTATCTGATATATGCCAGCAGCACCTCCAGTTGCAACAATCAGCAGTGTCTCCAGACATCCCCTAAAGGTCAAACTGTGTCCCCATACACCAGAACCACTATACTAGTTGATTCAAATACAAAATTACAGTAATTTAGAAAGGGAGAGCGTCTGAATTTTTGAGCCTCTGCATTCACTGTAGTATTTCGAAGCAAAATGTATTCACTGCTCCCAAAGAAATTTTGTTCAATTTAGTCAGGGTGGAAGAAAGTTCATCATGATGAATGGATGAAAGGCTACCGGCAATTTGTGTATTATCCTTGATCTCTGCTTGTAGTGCCTTGATATGGCTTACATATGAATCAAACAAGAACAGAGGACATCTGTTAATGGGCTCTGTCAACCAGAAAGGTAGGAGACTAAGTTTTTAGACATGGCGCTCTCCCATTGCTTAGGAACATCTAGTCTCTTCCCTAAGTAGATAAACATTCTGCTCAGAATACTGGCTACTCTGAATTAGTTTAGCAAATGCTTTTAAAATACTAGATAAAAGGCAAACATTAGCCCAATCCTTCCTCCACAAATTATCACAAATCCTAAAGTTATGTACTATAAGTAAGTAAAATTGTATGCATGATCAAATAATCATTCCCCCCCCCTGCCCCCAACTCCCTTTTAGACAGAAAAAAATAATAATTTTTTGCCCTAGGGAGATTTGAGGCATGTAAGTCAATCTAAGTGCAGAGCAGAGCTATCAAGACAAAATGCAAATGTACTTTTCACAAATTCTCAGAGCATTTCCATTTTTCAGAAGGGACTTTAACAGAGAAATATGTTTGGCAAGTCTGTGGGAAAATCAAGAACAGAGATTAGAGACTGGAATGCTGTAATTTTCTTTCTTAAGTATACGTGGAGTGCTGCCCTCTTTGCCTAGCTCCTTCTGCAGAAAGTGTTTTCCAACTCTTCAGGTGAAGTCTAAACCCTTTACGCAGTCGTTATAACCCAAGTAAGCATCTTTCTCGTCTTCTTGGCTTTCAGCCAAGACCCGCCTGATCCAGCAAGATCCAGCTAAGATAGCCTTCATTCCACATCCTGTTCTGAATCTAGTTTGAATTTCTAGCAGTTCCCTGTTGCTGTACTGCTGTATGTACTTTAAAAATGTTTTCAGCAAAATTTGTTTATATGTGACATTGATGATACTGTTCAATACGTGTTTCATTCTTTGGAATTGATGCAAATATGGATCTCTTCCAATTGGTTGGCCAGGCAGTTAGCTGTTTCCCAATGTTCTTAGCCTAGAAGAGAAAGTGCCTGCCAAACCATATCTGTTTGTGGAAACACTTCAGTTGATATTCCACCAATTGCAGGAACCTTATTTCTTGGCAATGCCTTCAATACAGCTTGGACTTCTTCTTTCAGTGCCTTTGAGGACAAAGTTACATCTGCCCCATATCATGTTGCTTTGTTACCTCAGATGTACACAAAGGCTTATATGAAGAAGAATGTGGCATCAGGATTGGAGGAAGACTTACTGATAACCTGTGATATGCAAATGATACAACTTTGCTTGTGGAAAATGAGGAAATGAAGCACTTGCTGATAAAGATCAAGGATTGGAACCTTCCATAAGGATTGCAACTCATTGTAAAGAAGAACCAAATAAAAATTTAATTTAATTTAATTTTTTAAAAAAGAAGAAGAACCAAACTGGAACAATATAGGTAATGAGGTAGTTAGTTTATTATGCCAACCTGGCCAATAAACACATGTGGGGTTAATTGAAGGGCGGAGGGATAAATGGCTCGGTGAGCCTCACCTTTCTAGTTCTCGGGTCTCTTGCTTTCTGGTGGTTAGACCAGGGTGCAGCTGCCTTTAGCCAGTTCCCTGCTTTAGCTGGCAAGGCTCACTTCCTGCAAGACATCCCCAAGGAGAAGCCACATGGACCTTCCCTGATGCAGTCCTGGGTGCTGGAGCAGCCATGTGGAGACCACTGCCAGCACTGAGATGCTTACATGCTCACTGACTCAGCTTTCCTCCTGCAGTCGGTGTCATAGTGTGTATTTTGTCAGATGGAGGACTTTGTGGATTGGTGTCAGGCATATGGGTTAATGTTGGACTTGTGGGCTTAGGCAGCACTGGGTTGGGATGTTTTCTTGATGTGCAGTTAACCTTTACATAAAACTCTCTCTTATACATGAGTTTCTGTGGATTTGTTTCTCTAATGTACCCAGTCTAATACAGGTAACATCTTGATAAATGAAGAAAAGTTTGACGTTATCAAGGATTTTGTCTTCCTTGGATCTATGATCAATGCTCCTGGAAGCAGCAGTCATGAGATCAAGTGATGGGTTGCATTACGTAAAGCTGCTATAGAGACCTCTTTAGAGTATTGAAAAGCAAAGATATCACTTTGAGGACTAAGGTGTGCCCGAGCCATGCCATGGTATTTTCCATCGCCTCATATGCACGTGAAAGTTGGACATTGAATAAGGAAGACTGTAGAGGAATAGATGGATTTGAATTGTGGTTCTGGAAAAGAATATTGAAAGTACCATGGACTGCCAAAAGAACAAATTGACCAAATCTTGGAAGAAGTTCAGCCAGAGTGCTCCTTAGAGGCAAAGATAGTGAGACTTCATCTCACATACTTTGGACATGTTGTCAGGAGAGAAAAATCCCTGGAGAAGGACGTCATGTTTGTTAAAGTAGAGCAGCAACAAAAAAGATGAAGGCCCTCAGAGAGATGAATTGGCACCCTAGCTGCAACCCTCAGCTCAAGCATCGGAACCATGGTGACGATGGTGCAGGACAGGGCAGTGGTTCGTTCTGTGGTGCATAAGGTCACGATGGGTCAGAACCATCTCAATGGCGCCTAAGAGCAAAAACACTGCAAAGGCTGAACAATGAATAAGTATGACAAATTAGGAACCGATGCATTTGAGCTATGATGTTGGCAAAGAATGTTGACTGACAGCAGAATGAACAAACTTATCTTGGAAGAAGTACAACTCGAATGCTCCTTGACAAGGCTTAACCTCAATTACTTTGGTGTATTCTTGTCCAACTGAATAAGTCATTATCTGATGGATCTGATCCCTGGAGAAAGGAACCATGCTGGGAAAAGTAAAGGAAGACCGCAACCACATAGACGCAGAGGCTGAAACAATGAGCTCAAACCCAGCGGTCATTGTGAGGACGGCGGGCATGGTTCCTTCTGTTCTATTTACAATTGCTAAGAGTTGGAGCAGACCCAATGGTAGCTAACAACAACAACGGACAAACAGCATTCCTGGGTGATGCACATAATTCACGTGCTGGGCCAATAGAGGAAATATTGGTAGAAGGTGTGTTGGAAGAAAGTCTACTTTGGAAAACTCAGGAATTGAAAACCCTGTGAAGCACAGTTCTAGTCTGACCCCCGTGGGATTGCTATGAGTAGGAAATCAACGCCATGCCAACGAATTCATTTTTCTTGTTAGTTTCTTGTTTATGTTTTTACTGGACACAAAGACCGATTCACCCTTGAATCCTGACATCTACCTACCACATAGGATGAGGAGGAGGTGGAGGAGGACAAGAGTGAGGATGGTAATGATGGTAACTGACTCGTATTAAGCATCGACTGTTTATTAGACCCTGTTCTGAGGACGTTACATTATTAACTCAGTTGCTTCTCAGGGAATCCTGTAGACGTAAAAGCTTTTAACCCCATTTTATAATTGAAGTGACGGAGCTTGGCAGCCCTGGCATTCTAAGGCCATTGTTCACTTCAGTCTGTGCGCCTAATCATCCCTTCTTACAACATTCTACTGGATTGAAGGAGTTCAGCCACGTTACACTGTTAACATTTATTGAGTATTTACTATACTGCCAGCACCCCCAGGAAATAAGGAAATAGATTAGGAGAGAACAGAAAACAAAAGGGCAGAATATACGTGAAGCAGAATGAAGAAATAGATACTTGTTGATCAAAAGATTCGAATTAACATGAGGGAGTAGGGGAAGAAGGAATCTGGTCGGCGCCATTTGGAAAGCGTAGATTGAAATTGGTTAAAACAAAGATGAAAAAAACAACACTTTATGAAATGTTGTGTTGAAGAGATTATATAACTTTGTCTTTCATTGCTTCCCTTTTGAAGTGAAGACTCCTGGTGGGTAGGAATTGTGCCCCTGGGTTTATTTGGCATGGCACGAGCACAGCGTAAAAGCATCTGTGACCTAATAACGAGAACTGGCGTGCATTGTCAAGGTCAGTCAATCAAAATATTTGGTTGTAAGAATCCTTGGAGTGCTGAGGGAGAGCATCGTCAAAGGCCACCGGGGTGTCCAGCAGAGAAATACCACCCGCTGTGAATGCGATCTTGGCGTAGGGCAGGCCAAGGGCACCAGCAAGAAGGGCTGTCAATCCTGAGGGATATTAGAAACCAGCTTTCAAATGCAGCTGGTCTGTCTTTTTTCTCTTTGCCAATTCTATCGCATATGTTTTATCATTTAAAAAGTGCAAGAAGGCATTTATTCATTGCCACAGGCCAGCACATCTTTTTGTTTTCCTATAGAACACTGACATCTAGAGGAGCCTTGAACCAGGGCGCTCGTCCTGAAGCAAAGGCTGTATTTCTCCTTTTCTGTTCCCTGACAGCAACTAGAGAAACTTCCAAAGGAAGTGTGTGTACTGTGTATTTCCAAGGTGTGTGTAAGTTGCTAAAATAGAAAGCAAACTCCCCTGCAGTTTGGCAAAGTCCAAAATAGAAACATCTTTTCTGTGCATCAGAGCAACCAGATGGCCCTGAAAGGATTCCCATCGTGGAGGTTAGAAAATGTGCGGCAGCCGAATTGCAGGCTGAGAAAAGTTGAAGAGGCTCATTCAAGTCTTTCACTTAGAAAACACTTCCTGTTTGTAT